ATATATATATATATATATATATATATATATATATATATATATATATATATATATATATAAATCACCTCAACTCACCTCCTGCAGTCTAGTACAGGTAGGCTAGGTCTCCATCTTGGCCCACCGTAGTCTGGGCGATCGTGCCAGATCTACAGCCCACCGCGCTTGTTAGTTCAGCGGTAGTGCCTTCGCAAGTTGCGCCGCGATAGGCTTTTTCCTGATAAGCATTCAATCAGGACTCAAAAAAGACTCGATTCGACCCTTATCTCACGCCGGTCCACAGGAGTAAAACCCTCCTAGGTGGCCACACCCCTTTAAGTCTTTATTCCCTAGGCCCGATGTAGGCCCGCTGGTCAGGTTGTGCCGATCAGCAGCCGACAATAGGGGTTGCGCCCTAGTGATGCTAAACTCTACCGTTAGCTTGGTATTCTCATTCATGTTCCAGGATTAGCACATGTGGCGGATGGCGGGTCGCAACAATACAGGCCCACCGCGGGACTACGCAGAGGCCTGTCACACATAAAAGGTATTTACCAGCCCTCTGTGGGACAACACTAGGGATCGTGGCAACCTCTCCAATCACCGCCAGTTGCACAAGGCCGTGACTTCCTTACTTGATCAGAGCAGGCAGCCACGCATCCCAGTGACATCTCCTAAAAGAAACTATTTGCGACCTCTCCAAACTCTCAACAGTGGCCAAGCAACAAACATGGTCCTTCTCGTTAGGCTTTATCATACCAACCTTGCTTACCATGCCACCGATCTGGTAGCCACCCTTCATATGAGGGAGGTCTCACTCCATAGGTCTCCCAGCATGCAGCGGGTTGCCTCCTCAACAAAACCAGGCACCCCTACCATAGCACAACTAAACTTGAGGGACCAACTTATGGGTCCTCATCACAACTCAACAACATACATTCGGCATGGCAAGCATCCGAGTCTCAAGGACTCACAAATCCAAGGGATTCTTATACTTTCACAAGGACAGACTGCACTCCCTCTCCTTATACCTGGCCCCGTTACCTGCCCGCGGGCAGATCACACAAGTATACCGGAGAGTAGGCCGTTCACATACAATCCATTCGCACGGTGCACAACATTCAAGATGTCGTCCATACACTCAACATTCACCATACATCAGGATAAATCCACACATGTGAGAGTGAGTGTGATCGTCATGTACAAAGGATAGTCTCAAACCTCACTCAACTCAGATATACACTCAGGGATGAGATATCTCATCCAAAAATCCACAAGGTAACCTCGTCTCCGAACCCACACAAAACAACTCACCCCACCCTGAATATAATACATGGTTATTTGTACAGGGGATCCCCAAAACAGTTCAGTATTCTATTGCCGCTTAGTGTACACCCACTATTTTACATGATCCTAGTTACAGCGGCCACCCCATGCTGCAGGTCCCATCTACACACTCAACGTCGTAGGTGTCCACCCTGCCTAAGTAATAGCAAGATCATCAAAGAAATATCCAGCTTTTATTCAGGTGAACCAGACCCTTCTCACTCATCTCCTCCTGGTTTTGCTCGTACAATTGAGCTCTACCCCCATCTACAGCTCGTTCCACCACTCTACCCTGCCTATCATACATCTTCTCCGAGACCTTCCCGTCTGCCTGGTCCTTTAGGAATTTGAGGCACTGCAATGCCCTGTGCTCTCCCCTTGTACAATAGAAACAGGTCGAGTCGAAAGACTTCCTTGGCCTCTTCTTCTTCCTCTGGGGCCCTGCTGGCGATGGGGTTTCCCTGGCCTCTTCGTCCAACTCATGGCACTGAGGCACATCTTTGGGTCCCTCAGATCCCGCTTCCGACTCTCGCGGACTGGACCCTGGTTGCACCCTTGCTCCCACTGGCTCATAGTCAGGAGTATCCAACCTCTGGGGCCTGCCTGCGATGATGTCCTCTATTGCACCTCCCATCTCGCTCTCCAGGGACTCTTCCAACTTGGACTCTGGTGAAAACAAGCCAGCATCCTCCTGCATAGAGTGGACTGCTTCCAGTAGCACATCCAAGGATCCTCCTGTCGAGCCTTGGGGAGGCTCATCACTGGCCGAGGGCAGTCTCTCCTCAAGTGACGGTGGCATGGCAGGGTCTGCAAACATCGTGGGTAGCACCGCAAGCTCCGTAGGGGCTCTGAACTCGAAGGCGTCCCTCTCAGCCTTTCTCTTGGCTTTTGCCTCCTCAGGCTCCAAAATGACTCTTCCCATAGGTGCCTCTCGCTGAGGCTCCGCCACAGCCGGTTGCTCTGATATGCCATGTCTCGGCTGACTCTGCCCTCCTGGCCTGCTACTCTCCGCCCCATCCCTGCTGCCATGGAGTTGCTGCCTCAATTCCAGGATGGTGGCGGCTTGGCTAGCCACCAGAGCCCTGAGCTCACGGACTTCTGCCTCAATGGTCCCCAACCGTGACTCCAGCCCTGCTTCCCTCAGTTCCTTCCTTCTCAGATCCGCCTCCAACATCATATACCCGTCGAGGGAGGTCTTGGATACGGAGCGAATCCTCTGGTCCAAATACTCATCAGCTCTCTGTGAGGTTTCAACCTCTGCCTTGCCTGGGGCCGTCAACCCTTCGCCATGACGAGCAAGAAACTCTCCCCACATCTCCGGAAGCCCATATGGTTTATAGGGCGGTGGCGGACTTGGAAGTACCCCTGCCGCTTCCAATCTTTGCCCCTCCTGCCGGATTTCCTCCCAGCGTCTTGCCACTCTAGCCTGCTTCGCCTCAGCCGTCTCTCTCGCTGGTACTTCCTCTACCGTGCATTGTTCGACTTCCCCTGAGATCCTCGTTTCCACCTCTCTCTCGGCCTGACCTGGTTCCCGGGGTGACTCCACAGGTATGACCTCTTCCAGACTAGGTGGCTTCAGACCGTGGGCGGCCAGATGGCTATCAATCAGACTGTCTGCCTCCCTTCTCAGACTGGCCCCCTCCGCCTCACTTGCCTCCATTCCTGTTGGCGATAGGGTTGTCTCCGACACCGAGATCGAGACTTCCTTTCTTTGTACTTTCTTCCTCGTATCTGGCGGGCTCTTGAGTGGACTACCGAGCCTCAGCCCCACGGCTGGCCCCTGAGGGGGAGTATCTTCCTCAACTTCTATGATCTCATCCCCAGTCCGGCCTTTCGTAGCACTCAGCTCTTCCTCCTGTTCAGGATCTAGAACGTCCTCCTGCGGTACTTCCGCGACGGCCTCAATGCGCCTCTCACTCATCAGCGGCTCTCTCCACTGGGCAGCGTCCAGATGTGCCTCTAACTCTTGCAGTGACCCTTCAACGACCGGTATCTCTTCCTGTATATGCTGTGGCGCTTCTCCCGGTCCTCCCCCAGTATAGCGGTGGAACTCTACTGGCCCCAATTCACACTCGGGGCCTTCTCCTCGCTCCTCTGCCTCAGGTACCGTTTCCTCCTCTCGCCTAGCGAGCGCCTTCCGTCCTCTTCGCGAGATTCGGTCCTCTGCGGGCTCAGGTTCCCTTTGCCTACAGCTCCTGAGGCGCCTTTCGACTCTAGGCCGAGGTGGTTCTGTCTGCCGGAATGCCGCCCTCAAGTGCGCTCTACAACCATCCCAATCTCGGGCCATATCCCTGATCTGTCTGGCCAAAGGTCTTTCCGCCTTTCGGGTCCACAGGGGTAACGTCGTCATCCACTCGCTTTGCAGTATTGCCTGGTCTTGCATGAATTGATCGAATGTTGGGATGAAGTCATCTGCATTCACAATCTCCAGTCGAATAGGCCTGCCATCAGGCCCCACAGGCAATGGTCGTAGTTCCTGCATCCGCGCCTCCATTTCCGACCTCGTTCGGGCCTCCCTGCGAATCTGTGCGATGGGCTCCATAAACCTGCCAACTACCCTCAGCCTCTCGATCGTCTGAGTCACGGTCCATCCCCCTAAGCCTCTCGATCGTCTGAGTCACGGTCCACCCCATATGGTCAGCGTGGCCCCATAACTCGTCCATGAATAACTCGATATCCCTATCGTTATATACTGGAGTGCTTGCTCGACGGTAAGGCCCATGTTGTCCATGTCCTCCTAATGCTCCCGCCGATCGTCATGGTGGCCGCGTCCCCCTCACTCCTCTTGGCATGGCTGCAAGTCAGTATTGCACAACAGGCGAAGGAGGCAATAGGCACGCGCCGGGGTAAGCAAACAGGTGACGAAGATACACACTCAGGCCAAACCAAGCACATGCCCCAAACAATCCTCCTAATCTACAAACCCATCTATTCCATTCTAAGGGGATTGGGTTGCCTATCTCACCTCTTCTCTAGCCACAAATTTCTTCAACCTCGTCCCTGACACCCAGTCTCTCCACTCTGTTCCATTCAGCTCCTCGATCTAGTATGCGCCGAACTCTCCGCATCGCACGATCCGATAGGGACCTAACCACCTCTTGTCCAGCTTCCTGGACCATTGTTTTTCCAGGGATGAATCATACAAGAGCACGACGTCCCTAACTACTAAGGGTACCTTTCTTACACTAGCCGACTGGTCCCAGCGAGTCTTATCGTCCATACGGCTCCTCTCTACCTGGTCGGATGCCTCTTGGACCCTTTCCTCAATTGCGCCCACTTGCCGAGCTCGAATATCAAGCAATTCTTCGAAAGACAGATTTACCTCCAAGTTTTGAAGCCTCCAAGTCTTTAGGAAGTTCTCGATTGGAAAGGTAGTATGTCTTCCATACCACAGTGTGGCTGACGCGTAGTTAGTGGTCCTTTTCACTGTAATGTTCTCAACAAAGAAGGCGACCCTCAAATACCTTGGCCACTGGCTGGGCTTACCCTCGGTCCATTTTGCTAGTAGGGCCGTAATGGTACTATGACCCCTCTCCACCGGAGCATTTGCCTGTGGGTGGGCGGCCATGGTGTAGTTAGCCACTACCCCATATCTTGACAACAACTCTTGCACCTCCTTACAGGTGAACTCCGACCCCCTGTCCATTACGAATTACCTAACAAACGGGTAGCGTAGGTAATACTCCTCGATGCAGCTGACCAGAACTGGCCTAGTCTTCGTACGGATTGGCCGTCCATCTACGAAGCCAGATAGGTTGTCGCGCGCATCGAAGATATAGTTGTAGCCATGATCTCCAAGGGGCATGAACAATAAGTCGAGGTGTACTATGCCCCCAACCTCTCTCTCCAGCCTTGGATGCAGTGGGTCTCCAGGCCTCATACGAGACTGCTCCTGGCACGGCACACAGGAACGGCAGAATTTCCCAACCATCTCCATCATCCCGTCCCAATAGTATAGCTCACTTATTTTGGCATATGTGGCAGTAATTCCCCAGTGTCCACCTGCAATGCCATCGTGAAGCGCCGCTATGACGTCAATCTGACGGTTGCGACCACATACCACCCGCCTGAAGTTCCCTACTTTCCTTCTTACGAAGAGGTGACCGTGCCTTACTAGGTAGCGATCCCTCATCATCTGCGCCCTATGGCTTGCGTCTCTACCACGCATTTCGTAGGATAAGAGAAGTCCTGGCTATAGGTAAATCCCATCATACTCCTCTGCACGGAATGCCTCCTTGATCTCTCCCTCTTCGAACTCATCATCCTGGCTCTCCAACATAGTATCTCTTCCTTCCGTCGAATTTAGTGAGCTTTCCAAATCAAGGGACTCCTGCAGAAGCGCATTGACGAGGAGGTACATCCCTCCCATTAATTCCTTGTGATGTTTTACCTTATCCGGGCCCTCCTCTATCGTCAGTACCTCATCCACCATACAGTGGCTACCTGCGAGCGCCAGCTTGGTCATCCATTGGACGTCCTTACCACCCCAGGGATCCTCTTTTTCGAAAGGCTTGAGCACCAACTCAGCTCTCCACTCATACCCGTTAGGCGTGTGCCAAATAGGATGGCCAACGCAGCTAGGGACTCGTGGGGACCACTTATTGATGTGGAGGCGGATGTCCTCGTCGTGGTCCAGAAAGCCATCAACTGGGGGCGTATCCTCTACAGCTTCCTCATTGTGCCTATCCCAGTTGATGCGACTTAGCCCATCTGCCCTGTTCTTGTTCCCTGGGATCCGTTCTAACTCGAAGTTGAACATCTAGATGTATGTCAGCCACCTGGCAATTGTTGGATCGGACGGAACATAATTCCTCAGGGAGAAGGCCAGAGCCGTTGGGTCTACCCTTAAGATGAACCTCCTGCCGAAGATGTAGTTTCAAAAACTCCGCAGGCAATGAAGGACGACGAGAGTCTCCCTCTTGAATTGAGAGTAGTTTCTTTCTGACGTACACAACGTGCGACTCTCAAAGCGCAACGGCCTCTCCTTCCCCTTGATGTCTGCTTGGATTAGAACTCCACCCAAGGCCGTCGGTCCTGCATCGGTCTCCACAATGAATGGTCTCGTCTCCGTAGCGTCATAATCGGGCGCTCCCAGTACCAACCCTCCTTTCCGGAATTTCTCCCTCATGTTGGCCACAGCCTCTTCCTGATCCTCATCCCAGGTCCACTCCTGATCTTGCTGGACCAGCTTCCTTAACTGCTCTGTCTTTGCCGCAAAGTTCTTGACGAAGGACCTCCAGAACCCACACGTACCTAGGAAGCTCCTTACATCTGTTACAGAACGGAATGGCACCGGCCACTCAACTATCTTATCCGTCTTTTTAACATCCGGCCGCCGACCGTTCTCATTACAGACGAACCCCAAGATAGTCGTTTCCTTCATACAGTGCTTAGACTTAGGCCCACTAGCCATAAGGTTGTACTCCTCAAGCAAGCCCAAGACTTTATCAAGATCCTGAATGTGCCTCCAGACAAACCGCCTTACTCTAGGCAGGACCTCATCGTCTTCCCTTTTTCGCGGCCCTTTTACCGCCAGGTCATCGATGTACGGCTGCGTGATGTGTGGACTAACTGTTTGCATGACCCGGATCATATTCCTCTGGACCATCGCCACCGTATTCGTCCACCCTTGTGGAGCCACATTCATGTGGATAAGCCCCCGAGGCGTGTGCATAGTTATCACTCTCTCTCTCTCTCTCTCTCTCTCTCTCTCTCTCTCTCTCTCTCTCTCTCTCTCTCTCTCTCTCTCTCTCTCTATCTATCTATCTATCTATC